ATCACTAATTCTCATGTCACCTAATAACTGCCAAATGTTGGTCTCAGAGTATTAAAAGTTTGCATTCCTGTGCAACAACTCGTTCTTATTTTCAACATCCATCACTTGTCTTTCGGCATACGTGATCAATCTGTCAAAAAATGTCGTTGTCTCTGCCAATTGCTTCAACAACAACGTCCAGTTTGATATTTAAATTTTTAAATTGGGTCTCCACCACATCTATCATCGAGACCTTCCTTTTTGAGCCCCAGGAAGAAGATATATTACTGGATGGGATAGATGGTGTTAGTGATAATCTATGTGAGTCCACATATGGGGGAGCTAGGAACATCTTCTACTGAGCCATGAAATGCAGGTTCCTCTGGGATATACTCCATATCTTCATTCAAATCTAATGTGAATGATTGTTGTTGGATGCGTTGACGAATTTGACGTGTCGTTCTCACCTCGTGGCCAGTGACACAATCAACACCCCATAATTCCTCCATCAAATCATACTATCTGATGGGGGTAGTTCTCCACTTAGTAACAAAGAGTTTTGCCTACAATCCAAAAACACATGTAATAGATAAGAGATAAACAATGTTTAATTGTGTAGTATTATTAAGCAAGGTATAACAAACACCTGTATGAGGTTATCCCAAACTTCCGATTCGGCCTCAAATAATCTTGTGGATTCCCTCCACGTAAAGCCACTCAGACCACCAAAAAGGTCATGAACCTCTTGTCACATGTCCTTCAGGCTCTTCTGCCTATTTTACACATTATTTTTTGTGATACTCACCAAGTCTAACTATTGAATGGAGTCAACAATGTTATTATAGACCTGTGTGATCTAAATATCATCAACTCTATCAAACCATGATTGTTAACAGGTGTAAGTCCATCTTCGTTGTCCATTTAATAAACTCTCTAATGTCAGCAGATGACTCAGGAACAATACCCTTGACTCTATTCATGATTTCCCTATTCAATACAGAACTTGTCCAAACATTTTAAGATGGTAATATGCAAATATAGTAAAAAACAAATACTTCATTAATAGGTCATAAATATCCATCATAAAATAATTGTATATTAGAGAAACATTTATAACATATTAATTATTTTCATAGTCTCTTCACATACTGGTTGCAATAAAATCTCTTAGTTTTGACCTTAGTCTATAATCATCATCCCGATCTTGTGTTCCAGATAGGTACACATCTTGGTCCATCAACTCTCGATCAACCTCAACTATTAATTAGTCATCATTGTCAACTCCATGAAGATAGTTGTAAATAATACAACATGTTAAGCTAATTTTGGTCATAGGCTCCAATGAGTAATGTGGTTTAGTCTCACTCGCTATGATAGGGAATCATTTCTTCAAAGCACCAATGTCCTTTCCACAATATTTCTAAGTGATGCAAGACGAACATTAAATAACTCTTTTGAATTTTTTTGGACCTCTTCGGTTGTACTCTTTCAAGTGATATCTTATGCCCCGACAAGGTGTTAGTACATTTGCCTTTAATATAAAGCTAACATCTTCAAGGTAATATTTTCTTACAATAATTATACTTGACATTATTTGAATGACTTCTAAGTGACCACAAATCAAGTCCAACAAAATCATGTCAACTCACCTTGTGCAATAATGAATGGATTCTCTCGAATAAGAGCATCCTTTAAAATCTGTAAATCAAATGTAGTTTTTTCCCGCTCGACTAACACATATATAAACTTCATATTAAAATCACATACTGCAAATATATTTTGTATTGACCAATCTTTTCTTCCACGATAACGTGGGACATCTACTTGTGGAACCCTAACACGTACATGAGTGTCATATATGGTCTCTAAACAATCCTAAAAGCCAAAAAAAAAAAACGAGTATAAACAACAATAAATATATTTTGCATGTAAATTGACATATGAATTTGGACTATATTACTTTAAAGTATGGGTAAGACCGACTGTTGTTTAGAATATGAGGTTGAACTTCAGTCTCAGATGGTTGAATTAAGAATTCAGCCTCCAACATCAATATGACATTCAACCCATTATGAAAATGTATGGAAACAGTTTGCCCAAAACGATAGAAAAAGAATAATACACTTCTATTCTTCACATTATGCTCAATACTGTGAAGAAATTTAGCTACTTATTCTTTAATAGTTGATTTATATGTATATTTTATCAACTCAGATCCTTAATCATTCGCATAATATAATGAATGCTCTAAGTCTCATCCGAATAATGTCATGATATTGTTCAATATGCACTAAGTACAAAAATAACTCTTTACGACATTACTCTTTTTGAGAAACAAACTCCGGACTACTTAGAGTTGACAAATATAACACATTCAAAGCATGAACAACTATGCAAATGATTGTCACAGTTACTATTTCAATATAAAATTTTATTTATTATTATAAATATTCAATTAAATTAAAGTCATAGCCAAAAACATCATTACCAAGTTCTTCATGAACAAAAACCTCAAACCAAATCTCTAAAAAAAATATATCCTATAAAATATATTCTCAAGTAAGTAAAATAAAATCTGAATTATATTAAAATTTACTAAATCATCTAACATTTTATTATTCACCTTATGTATCTAATTACAATTTAATGTAAGAATAATTCTAATAATTTAATATTAAATTACTGAAGAATGTGTTAAAGTTATTTTCTTCTATTAAAAGAATTCAACATTTTATTAATCTTCAACTTCAAACATAATTTTTATTTTTTTATTAATAATCTTAAAATTTTTGGAAACCTAATTGTAAAATATTTGAAAATTTTTTAGATTTATATTTAATATATAATATTCACCTAAATATAATTCATAATTTATATTATTGATAATCTTAAAAATAATAAAAACCTAATTTAGTAAAATATCTATATATATGTTAAAAAAATTTAAATTTATATTTAATATATATTATTCACCTAAATATAATTCATAATTTATATTATTAACCATTAAAAATAATGAAAACCTAATTTGGTAAAATATTTATTATATATTTTAAAGTTTTTTTAGATTTATATTTAATTTATAATATTGACCTAAATATAATTCATAATTTATATTATTAATAATATTAAAAATAATGGAAACCTAACTTAATAAAATATCTATTATATATTTTAATTTTTTTTAGATTTATATTTAATATATATTATTCACCTAAATATAATTCATAATTTATATTATTAACCATCTTAAAAATAATGAAAACCTAATTTGGTAAAATATTTATTATATATTTTAAATTTTTTAGGTTTATATTTAATATATAATATTAACCTAAATATAATTCATAATTTTTATATCTATTTTTAACTTAAATAACTATTCTAGTCTCAAATCTCAATTTAACTTATAAATTTAAATATTTATGACATAATTTAACTTAAAATTCTAATCTAATATTTTCATAAAAGATTCATATTACAATTTTTTCATAACACATTCATATTCATTTAAATCTATATTCCACTTAATTCTAACTTGTAGTAACAACAATGATTTACTCTGCACAACCAACAACAATAAATTGAGCATCACCACTATCAACAACGCAAACCAGAAGCACCACAACAAGAGAGGCACTAGCACCAGCACCACACAACCTCCACAACAAACCACCAATATGATGATAAACACCAACAATAAATCTCCAAGACAATGTCAAGCACCACCACCAACACACAAGACTATCAATAACAACAGGACAAGACCACCATACAACCAACATTTGCACCATCACCACGACGAGAATACTATCAACAACACCACTGAAAACCTGCAAGAAAACAACATAGATCAATGGTTGAACACAACATAATTCACACACACGAGAATCTAGTCTTGTTGCAAGAGCACTTGATGAGATCAGTTGACAACAGCAGCACGATGAGACCACCACACAATCAATAACTATAGCACCACTGAAAATCTGGATGAAGATAACACTAACACACGTCAATATTTGAACACAACACAATTCACACACACGAGAATCGATTCTTATTGCAAGAACACTTGATCAAAAATCGATTCTCGTAAGTTAGAGAATCAATTCTATTTATAGAGACGAAGACTAACGTGACAAGTGGACGAGATCGATGTTTTAACTTTGAAGAGGATTCTGATTTTGAATTTCTTACATTATATTTTCATGTGGTAATGAAAAGGAACAAAATCATAAATAATGGTGTGTATTTCTCGAGGAATATATTTGTTTAAGTGAGTGAGCTATCATCCCACTCTCCCTCCAATCACCACTTCCATATCATGTCAAATTAGTTGAAAGAAACTTATCCAATAATTAGTTTTCTACGCGTGTGAATAGTAAATTACCCTAATCAAAGGGTGGAATCTAATTCAGGGGTTCACGATATCACGAATCACAACAGTGTTTTTTCTCTTTTCTTTTTTCCCATTAAATTTCTCTAATTACTTATTATCACTTATAATAAGCACAATTATTTAGACAAAGTCTTAATTATCCACTGTCCGCGTGAACATTAGAAAGCGTGTGAACCTCGACTCGCTGAATTATATATCATTAGTCTCACTGACCCCAAAGCCAAGTCAACCAAAATTTGTTAAAGGAAAGTGCCACGTTGTATATCACACGGAGCTACGCCGAAACTCGGTTTACTGTGAAGGACCTCGTCAAAAAAAAAATCCTATAAATCCAAGAGAATCTTGCAATTTTCAGAGAAACAACCTATCCAGCCATCTTTTCCTTATATATCCCCTGATTGGTGTGAACAAAGACAGCTGGAACCAGATAAAAATCTTCGGAGCATTTTTGTTCGCATTATTATTTCACCATCTTTTTGTTATTTTCTCAAATCACGTACATTCGTTAATACATATAGCTCGCACAATTGAATTTGTTTGACTCAAATACTCGTCACCGACATTAGATAAAAGTTTCTGAATTTGGGGTTTTTTGGTTAATTAGTTTCAGTGGGTAGTAGTCATGGCTATGGTTCTTGATGCTGTTCTGGGAAAAGTGCTTGATGATCTGCTGAATGAAATTGTGAAAATGAAAGACAGAGCTGTGGAGTTCAGATCCACCCTGGAAAAATTGCAGTCCACCATCGAAACAGTAGACCCATTGGCTAGGCAGATAGATGGTCTTAACAAGCGATTGGATAAACCGCCTAAGGAAACGAAGAAGCTGATCGATCAGTTGGCGAAGGGGAAGGAGCTTGTTAAGGAGTGCTCCAAAGTGGCTTGGTGGAATTTCTGTTATAAGGCCAATTCCCAAGAGAAACTTCAAGCCTTGATCGATTCTATTTCTGAGTACTTTCGTTTGGATATGCAAGGAAATATAAACGTCAATGTGTTGGTGAACCAGGTAATGCTGTCCGAGATTCATGCGACGATTACGAGGAATGTTCCGAGAAGGAGTGAATTAAAAGGCTTGTGCTCGCCCCCTGAACCCCCTGCTTTCACTGTTGGGTTGGATGTTCATTTGAGGGAGTTGAAGTTCAAGTTGCTCAAGAACCATCATGTGGGGTCAGTTCTCACGGTCACCGGAACAGGTGGTTCGGGGAAGTCAGCTTTGGCCAAAATGTTTTGTTCTGATGAGGAAGTCAAAGGTATGAAATGATCACCCATTACGTATATGTCTGTCTCATCATCTCTTTATTCTCGAATCAGTGTTTTTTTAGAAATTTTTTTTTTTTTTTTTTAATCTTTTGGGTTCTAGTTTGATGGAGGTTGCCATTTTTAGTTATAGTACGCGTACTAGCTGCAATTGACTGTTTTGTTGGTCAGAATGCAACAAATGGGTTTTAGGCTGTGTTTAGAAAGCCGTTACACTTTTACACATTTTGAGGCAAAAACATTGAACTTGATGAACATAATAGGAATTTTAGAATGAACATGCAGAGCTCTCAACATGTTGAAATTTGTTTAGGTGAATTCAAGGACAACATATTCTTCATCTCCTTTGCGGGAGCGCCCAAGCTGAGTACCATAGTGCAGAGACTGTTTGAACACAATGGTTACAATAAGCCTGAGTTTCAAAGTGATGAGGATACAGTTTATCAATTGGAAAATTTGCTAAAAAGGATTGGGGAAAACCCCATGCTGTTGGTCCTGGAAGCTGATGTTTCGCCAGAGTCAGCATCCCTAGTTGAGAAATTCGTGTTTCAGATCCCAAACTACAAGATTTTAGTGACATCAAGATTCACAATTAAAGGATTTGGGCCGCCATACGTGTTGAAATCACTTAATGAAACCGATGCTTTGAACTTATTTCGCCACTCTGCATCCCTGGATCATACTAGCTCTAAAATTCCTGATCATATTGTCAAGAAGGTACTCTCTATTGCTCAATTTTAGTATTACAAACGTGGTGTGTAAAATTGTAATCACTGGAAAGTACTTGTCTCTAACGAAGTCGTGACCTTCGAGTAATGATAATTCTAAAACCGTGATAAATGTTTTAGTTTCAATTTCTGATTTCATTGGAACACACCAAATAAATTGCAGATAGCAAAAGGGTGCAGTGGTTCTCCCTTGGCTCTTACAGTGACTGGCAAATCACTAAGTTTTGAACCACTGGAGGTTTGGCAAAACAGGGCGAAGACATTGTCGAACGGTCATTCTATTCTTACTGCTAGTTCTAGGAACGATGTGCTTTTTACTTGCCTCCAAAAAATCTTTGATGACTTGGATCCTAAGGTGGCCGAGTGTTTTACGGACCTGAGCTTATTTCCTGAAGCACAGAGGATACCCGCTGCTGCACTTGTTGATATATGGGGAGAACAGCATGACGAAGATGATGACACTGCAATGGAGAATATTAATGAACTCGTCAAAAGGAATGTGGTTGATGTTGTTGTCACAAGGTATGGCAAATCAGTGCTTCCCAAAAGATTACACATGTTATGTATTTATCAGTTTAATTTGCATGCATTAAACCATTTAATATGAGTTATATATATATATATATATATATATATATATATATATATATATATATATATATATATATATATATATAGAGAGAGAGAGAGAGAGAGAGAGAGAGAGAGAGAAAGAGGTTTACAATTTAATCCATTTTTAAAATAATTTAATTTTCAAAACTATTTCTAACACATTCTAAATATAAATTTAAAGTAATTATTACTTATTATACATAACAATTGGATTATTTAGTACAATATCATTACATTGTTAGTGAATGAGAATATTGTTTGTGCCGTTTTCGTGCATTAACTCATGAGCGAATAATTTCATTTCATTGATCAGGAATACAGCAAGTGGCACAGTTGACTACAATTACCACTATGTTACGCAGCATGGTCTTCTTCGGGACCTAGCTATCCTTCAAACAAGAAATTTGCCGACGGAGAAGAGGCATAGACTAATTATTGACCTAAGAGGTAACAACATTCCCAAATGGTGGACTACACAGAATGAGTATCACATTGCAGCCCACACATTATCCATATCAACTGGTATGTTCAGCTCTCTATCTTGATGCGTATATTGCATGGCATGACATATATTGAGAGAGAGTTCTCAATCACTAATTCTGGAATCTGCTTTTGCAGATGAAGCATTCACTTCAGCGTGGTGCAACTTGCAGCCAAATGAGGTTGAGGTTCTAGTGATGAACCTTAGAGAAAAAAAGCACTCACTACCAATGTTCATGAAAAAAATGAATAAATTAAAAGTTCTGATCATAACGAATTATGACGTCGGTCGTGCTGAGTTGAAGAATTTCGAGCTGCTTGATTATCTTTCTGATCTCAGACGAATCAGGTTAGAGAAGGTTTCAATTCCTTTCCTGAGCAAGACTGGAGTGCCATTGAAGAATCTGCACAAGTGCTCTTTCTTTATGTGCAATGTGAATGAAGCCTTCGAAGATAGCACCATCCAAGTTTCTGATGTGCTGCCAAATTTGGAGGAGATGAACATTGATTACTGTGATATGGTGGAATTGCCAGATGGACTCTCTGATATTATTTCCCTAAAGAAGCTAAGCATCACAAACTGCCATAAACTTTCTAAACTTCCTGAAGGAATTGGAAAGTTGGTCAATTTAGAATCACTGAGGCTTGCTTCTTGTACTAATTTAGAAGAGTTGCCTGACTCAATCACAAGACTTGATAAGCTGAACTTTCTTGACATCTCTGACTGCGTAAGCCTTCGAAAGTTACCAGAAAACATGGGGGAGTTGGGTAGCTTAGAAAGAATCAATTGCAGAGGTTGCACGAGATTATCTGAATTGCCATACTCAGTTACGGACCTTGAGGGCTTAAGGGTGGTGGTATGTGATGACGAGTTGCAAGCATTATGGGAACCTATCAGACACATATTTAGTGATCTAACGCTAGATGTGGTCCAAGTTGATTTCAACTTAGAGTGGCTTTTATAGATTGCATTCTGCCACTTGAATTTGGCAGCTCTAACAGAGGATCAAAACGGAGGTGAGTTAAAGTACCTCGCCAATTTTTTTTGGAGGCAATGTATATTATATTCTGAGGCAATGTATTATTATTACGAGCTTGTGTTTTTCTCTAGGTTTCATGAGTGATTTCGTACAATTTTATTTATTTATTGAGATATAGGTATTGAATATGTAATTTTGATTTATGAGATATGATACAGTTGAGCTTTTATTATTGAGTTACAGGATTTTAAATATATATTTTTTATGTATGAGATATCTGTAAAATTTATTTGATAATATTTTTTTATATAATTTATATATATATATATATATATATATAATAAAATATTAAATATTAACGATATATCACTTTTAATAATCTAATTTACATATTTATATAATATTTTTTTATTATAAAATATAAAAATATTCAATTTAAATAAAAATAATAATAAATCATATATTTCTAATATTTGTTAGATATCTATTTATTTAAAAAATTTATTATTTTTTCTTCATTTACTTATGATTTTATAAGATAGGTACACTTTTATTAGATCATCTTAAACAAATTTTTTGTAATTTTTAACAAAATAATAAATGTTTCATTTTTCTTTTACATAAGTACCAAAAAGTTTTCAACTAGTTCAGAATTTGTAATTTTTTTATTTAATTAATAATATCTAATCATTTGTTTGAGTATTTTTGATAATGGTTTGAAATTATTTTATCCTTTATAACTTAAATTCTCTCTAAAGTTTAAGATTCTTATATATTGAATATTTTCATTTCTTTCGTATTCTGGTTACAAATAATTTTAAATTTCTTTTGATAATTTTAAACAAACATAATTTCAAGTTTATCTTTCTCATATTTTTTTTTCTAAATTTTGATTTTGATCATATCAGCAAACCAACTATATAATTATTTTTTATAATTTCTCATAAATCTAGTCTATCAAATATTTGTCTTAGCTTATAAGAAATAATTTTTATCATTGAAAAATAAAATAACAATTTGTGAGAACATTATCGAGATAGATCTATTAAAAACCAACACTCTGAATATTATCGATGAGATTTAGAATTTTGAAAAAATATATTTGAAATGAGATATATGATATGTGGAGTTCTCCCATAATATTTTATTCATATACATCTATTTTATAAATGTAAATAAAATATTAAATATTTAACAATATTTCAACCTAGATTAAAATAATAATATAGTATTTTTTTAAACATAATAAAAAAAATTAGATTTAGTTTAAAATAAAAAATAATAAAAATTTATTGTCGTTGAAATGGAAACTCAACATAAAAGATATTACGCAGAAGGATTTATCTTGGTTGCAATTAAGGATGAATAACATTTTTTTCTTCCTTTACTTGTATTTATTTTTTATCTTGGTGAAGTTTTCAATGTGATTCCAAGGTAAAAGTTAAAATTAACTGATATTTTTTTGTTAATGTGAGAGTTCACGTATCTATACATATTCACATATACCTTTTGTTTAGCGTTACCCTCTAAATATAATAGTTAACTTATAGAATGTTTATTTCTTAATCTAAGTTTTTTAAAAATTAAATATTGTGTTTTAAAAAAAATAATAAAAAAAGAGATGAATAAAAAACAAATATAAAGATAAAGATAAAAAGTTAAACTCTAAAGTAAAGAAATTATTAAAATATAGACACACAAATTAAAAAGGATGAAATGTGATAAATTATAATATGAAATTATTAGGGTTGGACTTCACACATTCATCCCCTGGTGTAAATTAATTAAAAATAAACTTATAATTCAAGCATATCATCACCTCATTATATTATATTATCCAAATCTTAATTTCTTTAGTAAAGAACTCACATTGATTGTTTATAATTTTAATTTTAATCCATTACAATTTATAATCAATCAAACAAAATTACAGAATAAATTTTTAAAGATACCTAATTATAATTAAACTTATCATTAGTGATAATTCAATTAGTGATAATTAAGTTTAAAAATATTTTTAATATAAAATAAATTTTAATTAACCATTTAAAAAATTATCAAACTAATACAAGTATTAAAACGTACAAAACAACAATATAATTAGAATAATCTTTTTTAAAAACTCAGAATCAAGTGTTTATATGAATTTTGGTTTTGTTACCTCCAATCGTAGTATATGAGAAAATTAGTTAATCATATTTTCACCTAAAAACAATTACCAATAGGTGAAAATCAATTCATGATAAAATAAAATGTTTGAAAATATGCTCTTCCATAATTTCTATGAGAATTTGAAATTTATTCTATCCACAAAAAATATGTAAAATATATCCCTATATCTTTATTTATAAGAATTTTATACGATTAAAATCAAATATATTATAATGGATTATTTTCTTTGTTAGCTTATGCAGACATTTTGTTTGACATAAACAGGTTGCTAACATCGTTAAATTGGCTTCGGTTGAGTGAGCAAAAAAGTGTTATAAATATTAACGAATATACAAAACAAAAATTGATTTAGACATCAATAATTTTTTAAAGATTTATTTACTGTGTGAGTTTCCCAGAATTACAAAAACTTTTCACATTTTTTTGAAAAACTCAAAATAAGAATAATAACCCATAATACAAGAGAAGAGAAAAAGAGAATAAATAAGATGAAAGTGAGAGATGCGTATGGAGAGGAAAATGATAGCAAAATTCGTGGATCAAGAAAAAAAAAATCAACAGGAAGATTTTAGACCTGCGGAAGAAGAATCACACGTTCATAAATCTCGAGACCGAATAATTTTGCAATATTTTCCGATTTTTATAACAAAAAGTCACATTTAAACCGAGATTATATCATCCCTTAAATTGTGTTTAGTTGAGTGGGGAAAAAAAAATTCTACCCTTTAAAACTAATTTGTCTTAAAATTATTTCTCTAGGTTGATTTTGAAGAAAAAATAATATTTGAATTTTCGTTAATTATAATCTTATGAATAATACGATCCACAAATATCCCTTCACATTGTTAATATATTTTAATAATTTATTTTTCTTGAACTTTGAAACACATAATCCTTAGAGTAATTATTATCATCATTAATACAAAATATTTTACCTTTCCTAAAAATAATATTGACGATTCTAACCCATCATAATAAATTAAGTCTAATATGGATTTTTTCCTTATATAACTTGGTGAGGAGCTTCCAAATCTCTTTAGTTGTATATTTTTTCACAATTTTGATATAGCGTTATTATTAATTTCTTTTCACTTTCGATATGTGATGTTCACTGTCTTCCTTCAATTACTTCTACACAATTGCCTTTTCTCAAAATTGTTAATTATCTTCATCATTAGTTTCCACAATGAGAAATTATTCTCATTAAACTTTTCTATCTCATATTTTATTGTCATGGTTTTAACGGACTTATATACCTTTTTCTATGAATAGTATTACCCACATGATCACTAGTACACAAGGTAAGCTCCTAAAAAAGAGATGTGAGTCACTAAAGGACAAACTATTTCATTGTCAGAATTTATCCAATAACTAGAACAACTTTTTTCTAATGTGGGAAATCATATTAACTGCAATCCTAGAGCATACTAAAAATTTTCTCTAATACTATTCAAATAACTATAACTAACTATCGGCTTTGATACCACTATTATAAATTAAAATAATTACATAAGAACTTATAACTAAAATAAAAGATAAAAAAACCAACAATAAGCATTTAATAGAATTTTACTATAAGAGGAAATTATAATACCCTCTTTAAATCTAAGGAGAAAATAATAATAATATTCTCTCTAAAAAATAAATGCAATGTACTAGTAAAAAAGGAAAATGAAAAGATTTTGAATGATTTACAAGATAAATAACGTGTTTTTTTATAAGAGAAAAAATATACATCAACCTATACATTTTCTAACGTGAGACTTTTTTTCTCACATTTTCACACTGAAAACATGAATAAATTTTAATTTTTAAAGTGTGTATAATCTAGGTTCTTAAAAATTCATTTACGGTGTATCATTCAAATTTTTCATAATATTACAAGAATTATTAATATATAATTTTTTTAATGTAAGACTTATCTTTTTCACATTTTGACGCTGAAAATACGAATAAAAATTAATTTTTAAAGTGTGTATAACACTTCTTAAGAATTTATTTACAATATTCTGTGCAAGTTTTTTCAAATATAATAAGAATTTTTGAGTTTTTTCAAGAAATTTATAACTAATAATAATCTCTAGTAATAACCTAAATATAAGAGAAATGAATCAATGAAATGAAAATGAGAGATCCGTGTTTAATGATCTCGGAGATGTTATTGTATGCTGAAAAATGAATCTATCATTTTCCAAGAAAATACTTAAAATGTTATTCTAGAAGTTTTGCCATAATTATTTTCGTACAAGTATAAAATAAAGTGATACTCTGAATACTAAGTTGATATTTTGTTCTTAAAATAATTATAAATTTTAAAATTAAAGATTAAATTTAAATAAGTTTTCTTTTTCAAATTATCCTTCACAACTTAATTCGTTACTAATTTGGCTAATCACATCCTTTCATTTAAGATTTTTTTATTTTTATAAAATAATAATAATAAATAAGTTAAGAAAAATAGGTTTAGATGATTGTTACTTCAGCATTTATTAGGTTGAGTTCTGATAAAAAAAATGTAAAAGTAATTCAAAATTAGTCCATACAAGAAAAAAAATAATAATAATAATAATAAAATATCTAAATAAGAGTTGAATCTTTTGTCAGTGATCATATTTATAAATCTTTTAACAAAATATTTTACATAATAAATTATATCTATTTAATATTGAATGATAAGATAATTAATTATATATTGTTATTATAATATATATTAATATAATTTTTTAATTATGTAATAAATATCATAAATTTAAAGATTCTAAAAGCTATAAAGATGACTTTGTGCGTGATGATTAATCAAATGATGATGTAAAAGTATTAGTATTTTGGATCAAATATCATTTCCAAATTAGAAAACTAAAAATTTAATGTTAAATTTAGAAACTAAAAGAATAGTTTTAAATTTAGGAACTATAGAAAATACTTTTAAACTGAGGAGAAAAAAAAACCTAAATTTGAGAAATAAAAAATATATTTAAATAAAAAAAAATTAAAAACACTTTTGTACGAAATTTGCTTAATTACACGTGAGCATTGATAATGTGACATCATTATTCATATTAATAATAAGTCAAAATTAATATTTTGCTTAAAATCATATTTATTTATTTAGTAGATAGCAAAGGAAAAAAATATTAGAATAAATATTTTTATAAGTAGTTGCTCAATAAATTAATTAAGAGATTGATCGAAAGTATTTATGGTTGGATGATTGGTAATAAAATACATAAAATGATATTAAATAAATATACTAGTTTTATACCCTGAAACTAAAATAAAATATGATGCTGTAAGTTGTTAATAATTGAAATAAGTATGAAAAGATAAGTAGGATTGCAAAAGGTCGTGTGGATGGACCATACGTTCGCAAAATCTACCATCTGTGCGGGCCAAATCATAGAAAGGACCGATTGATCTAATGAAAGATCAAATGCCAAATGGCAGCACGTCTTGTTTAATGGTTTCTTGCAAAGTTTTTATTTTTCTGATTGAGACATTTTCACACATATGCTAAAATATATTCATTGTTTATAATAAAATAGTAATTGGATAATTTATTTGTCAAATTGACTATTTATATTTTCAAACACTTTAAACATTAATTATTAGAAGAAAAAAAAAGAGACTTCAATTAAAGAAAGACTATCCACTACTTTGTGAGTCATCATATTTATGCATTCTTATTTACAATTGTGCTTTATTTATGTTGTGACTTGGAACCTTTTACTTTATACTTTATTCGAATACTTTTTTATAATATTTTTTTTCATTCTTTCTAAAACCAGACTTTTTACATCAGATTAAGAAGTTATTCACCAATCTTTCAAACATAAAAGCTAATATTTTTTTTTTGTGATATTACATGTAATTGTGTTGTATTTTAAATGCCCTTTGATACATATATACAGAATTTAAAAATATACGAAATCTTTCACTGTTCTATATTATTACCTATGTGATGTTTTTTTTTCTTTATGTTTGTGCTAAATTACTAATCCTAAAAAAAGGTAAATAATTTATATAACATCTTAAACTCAAACCACGTTAAAGAAAATTGAATTATGCTTTATTAATTGACCGTTTGGTATTGTGTTGGGTTGGGAGCTTACCTATTTCTATCTTCTAAATTATTTTATTTACAATTTTGTTTTATGAATGTTGGTGACCTAATACCTAACTTGTTTTTTTTTTAATAAATTAAAGTTTTTCTTTGCTAAAAGTACCAAATCTTATTCAAATTAGTTTAAATTATTATGTTAGGAAACCCTTCTTACAAGTCTTCTTTATTAATTAACCTTTTGGTTTATTTGAAAACCATAGGCGGCAGTTAGAATTGGTTCTTGATCTTAAAGTAAACTTTGGTTAATTTTGTTTTTTCTCAAAGTATTTGTTACTGGGAATAAAATTGATGTTAAGATAAAATAGTTTTTAATTTTAAAGTGGTTCTATATAAACAGAATTTTTTTAAAATAAGAACATATTACATAATCTAAGTACCTCCATAACATACAACGAAATAGTCTATAGAGTTACACCAATAATGAAAAGACCATTTTTGTAACATATGGTAATTGAAACCCATTCTATGTACCGTACATAGATTATATCATCTATATATGTGTTAATTTTTTGATACCATGCCTCTTTACAAAAAAAGGATAACAATGTCTCATTCTTATAACATTGTTATTCATAAAGATTCGTTTTTCGTATTCTATATTTCGAAATTTTACTTCATTATAATTTTGAGACTTGTATCCCTACGAAATGATTCAAATATAATTCTTAGTTTAATAAGAATATGTCATCATCATTATATTATGATTTACTATCTGTTAGTGTGGAATCGAGAAGTATGCTAGAGAAACAAATATATAGGGAACTTTTTCGATGTCTAAATTATAAAAGGGATGATACATATAATCGAAAGGCAGAATCTGAAGAGTAGGAATAATAGTTCAAAAATTTAACATAGAGCAAACCAAAAAATTTGAAGTGCATAACGTTAAGGTTAAAATAAATCGATGTCAGGTATGCAAAGTGCTCGATAAAATCGAGATCAAAGGGAAGGCTCATTTACGTAGATATCGAAACCCTTACTAAACCTTGAAGGGAATTAGTCAAACGCACGCAGGGTAAGCAGTTTCTCAATCATGGAAGAGACGAGGATCGTGAGAACGTGGGAAAACTGTAAAAAGGAACTGTCATGTGCACGTAAAACGTGGTATCAGTCTTGGTAACCGCTCCTGGAAGGCTTGAGCTACACCCTATAAATAGAAGAAAGAAGGAAGAAACAGGAG